CCGATGCAGCCCTCTGCACCGACTCCTGCGGCGCGCCTTCGCCGGCTGCCTCCTCCGCGCTCGCCGCGCCTGACCGTTACCACGCTCACAGCAGCAGAGGGCAGATGTTTTCTTTCTCTCTCTTTAAGCCGCCTGACGTGTCGCCCTGCCCTGGATCCTGCACGCCTCTTTCCTATAGCTTGTCTATCACCATCTGTTTGCATCATCTCATCGGGTGTTTTTGTGAGTTACTATGACTCAGAAATCACTGGATATATCACTCACTGTAATTTCAGTTTGTTTTTTTTTTTCTTGCCTTTGTGAGGAGGAGGCAGAGGAGGAGGAGGAGAGCAGGGGAGGAAGGAGTGAGTCATACATTGCAAGTAGAATAAAAACAACTGCCTGCTGCTGATGATGAAGAGTTTGGGTCAGTTAGACATAAACATTACAGCTTTTCACTTTCAGTCTTTTCAGCTTTAATCGGTTGTTGCGGTGATAAAAAATAAGATATGTTTGCACGTATTTAGCCAACCTCTGATGCCATGGAGTTTACTAATATTTTAGACGTTTGGTTATAACAGTAAAACCATACGGCAAAGGCAATTTTTTTAAATACCAGTTTAGTAGGATTTTAACACCAATGACAGAAAATGAGTAGAACAACAGAGAAGCAGCTGCTGCAGTAAAACCTCGAGATGTTTTATTCTTTTTTGCAACAAACTGAATTGAATGTTCCTGTATGGATTATTCGGTTGGTTAGTCGGAAAATTTAAATATATATTTTCTTTCTTCAGAAATGATGACAGCATTTTCATATTGAGTTAGTGAAGCTTTTTGTGAATATTTTCACAGATAGATGGCTGTGTTTGTGCCGTATCATTGAACATCTGTAACTGCAGTACTACGCAGTACTGCAGTACACAGGCCTTTTATTTTGGTCACAGTATGCTCTACCCGTCACCCTAGTTATTATTTCTTTTAATTGAATATCTGCTTCTGCGATCTTTACCTGAACATTTCTGGAGTGTTTTTTCCCCCCTGAAATAAAAAACATTACAGCATCATAAAACTCTAACCCACACACACGGGCGAACAGATATGGCTTTACCAGCTGCTTCCAACAACCTGAAAGTCAGATGATGCTGTGAATTTTACAAGAGGAAAGGAAAAAAAACAACACACACACACACAGACACACACACAGGCTCTCACACTGATGTCTTGCACCAGTGGGGCTACTCAGAGCTGCCAACAGAGCTGCCGCTCCTTCTGAGAAGTGTAAACTCAGTTTTGCTGGCACTGGAATGGTTTATGTTTCTGTGGCTGTGATTTTCTTGCGACACAGAAAAAAAACCTGATGAGTTATTTTAAAGTAAAAGGCAAATTAATATTAATTAGCATTTTAAAATCTGGTTTTTACATTAACTTCATTGAGAGAGTGTCATTTTTATCAGTCACACACACACGTATGGACGTCCAACGATCCCTAGATACAAACATACACTGGTGCCAAGACAATGGCCTGCTAATCCTGGCTTCTGATTGGATGAATTGAGATTACCCAGAGGGCACCAGCTGTCAGTGAAAGGCAAGGCCCAGTTTTTCTCAGTATCATACATTGACACCACAGACCAACACACACAAACACACACACAAACACACACACAAACACACACACAAACCATCCCGGATGGTTTCCTCTCGGTCTGTTATCATGGCTCCTGTCTGAAATCTGACTGATTCATTTCCTCTTTGTCAGCCGAAAAATTCAGCCTCTGTCATCGGTGACTGTTTGCCACTGCTGTCATCACACTGTAAAAATAGGAATGGGAAATAATACCCTGTAAAAATAGGAATGGGAATTAATACCACTGTTAACTGGCGCTAAAGCGGAGCAGGTAGCCAGCGTGCCCGAGTGTGCTGTGTTTTATTTTTAGTCTGTGGTTTTTCACTTCTGCTCACTGTGTCGGTTCTACGTGAGTTTCTAAGAGTCACGATACTGGAAGTACATTCAGGAATATCATAGAACAGTTTTCATTATTATTTTTGTGCTTGATTTCAACCCGTCATTTTCCTGACTTTACCGTTTGTCTGTTACTGTGTACGGCCTAGTCCCTCAGTGAGGTCACGGAAGGTCAGTCAGGCCAAACTGAGCAGAGAGATACAAGAAGCTTCCACACTGCTGGACCGAGATAAGAGCAGCTCCCTCTGAAAACTGGGGATGAGGGAGGAAAATAAATAAAAGATGGAAGGAGAGAGGGAATATGGAAGGAAGGAAACAGGAAAGGAGGACAATAGAAACACAGGATGACAGAGAGAGGTGTCTTCATTTGGACGAGTTGTTGTTTGTTTACCAGTCAGTCTGACTCTGATCTATTTTATGAGGTAAATTTTACTCTGAACGTCCTTAGATTAATCAGCAAACCAAACCAGAACTGGTCCCTGCTTACGGAAAACACAGATACAATAATAATAACACATGATTTACCCTCCTCACCAGTACTGACTCCTGCAGTCCTAGTCTGTCCTGCTGCTGGAGTCAATGTCCATAAATCCAGCACAGCTTTTTGGTTCATGTAACAGACTTCAGTTTGTCCAAAGCTGATATAAATCTTAAACCTGTAGCTTTTAATGCTTACGCACATGTTCTGCCCAGAGACGAGCAGAGGTTTGAAAAAAAAAAAAAGACGGCATGTTTTATTCTCAATGCATCATGGGAATGTGCTGTACCTGATGTCCTAGAAACATACATGAGGTGACGTGTTCAGGAGCCGGTGTCGTCTGTGGTCAGGATTCATACAGTTCTTCAGACTTCGTTTACATCTTATCTTTTCTGTGCTCCGTCTCTGTCTATGATGGAATCCCAATGTGTTTTAATAATGTTTCTGCCAACATCTGTTTTTCCATAAGCAAATTCCAGTCAGACGTCTTCTTCTTCCTCTTCATCTTCGTCTTCTGCCTTTATCAGTGTGCGCGCCGCAGCAGCAGAGAGAGAAACGTCCCAGGAGGGATCATTAGTTTCTTTGCACAGTTTCTGCTTTTTCAGATTTATTTTAATCCAAATGAAAATGATGAAAATAGAAAATTCCGAGGCAGAACTGGGACAGGAGTAAAACATTTACCTTCTCTCAGACTAATACTGGAGCCCTGTATGAAACACCTGGTGTATTTTGGAATGTTTTTCCCTGTTAATGGTATTAAACCTCGTCCTCTTAAAGAACTAATAACAAATCACAAAAATATTTCAAATCCACGTCAAAGCTCCTGGTGTGATTCAAAACATTAATGTTTTTTATTCTTTCTCTGTGTCCAGGAACGACAGAGCGGGTGTGTCTGATCCAGGGGACGGTCGAGGCACTGAATGGCGTCCACGACTTCATCGCTGAGAAGGTGAGGGAAATGCCTCAGAGCACCCAGAAGACAGAGCCGGTCAGCATCCTGCAGCCACAGACCACCGTCAACCCAGACCGCGTCAAACAGGTCAGTGGTTCTCTTGTTTGTTTGTGCGTTTTTTTCTGTCTCGGAGGATTTAGTTTTGAAGGCGAAAAGAGAGAAAAAGAAGTAAAAAGACTCAGAGTTAGAAACCAGAGTGTTTCCATGCTGTACGTGTGTCTGTGTTAACGGCTTCATAATTGGTCATAAACTCGTTAATGTAAGGCACCGTCATTCATGTGTGCACCGACGTAAACTCTCAGACACTCTGTAGGATGATCCATTGAGATGCAGTGTGTGAGGTGTGAACGTAAACACCACATGTGACATGAGTTGCTGACTGTTATACAGACAGACAGACGGCACAGTGAGGAGGTGTGAGTTTCCTAATTAGAACTCACGGTGTTTCTGTAGTATTATGCCATTTAATCCACTATTCTATCAATATAGATATACATATATATTGTATATAGATATATTGGACATATATATACTGTATATACACATATATGTATATGTATATACAGTATATACACATACATGTATATACTGTATATATACAGTATATACACATGTATGTATATATGTATATACAGTATATGTATGCCCCAAAGCAAGTTGATGTGTGTAATGATGAAACAAGTCACAGCAATATACTACATAAAAATTACCAAAAAAAAAAACAAAACAAAAAACCCACTATATATTTACCTAATAGTCTTATAGTCAATATATCTTTTTGTTTGTATCCCGCTGACGTGTAGCCAAAGTCATTTGAAAGTTACACATCGGAAATTAAGCCGTAAGAGACGGTATAATGTGGGCTATAAAAAGAAAAATCAGCATTTTAAACTAACCCTGCGGCGCAGGTGAACACCTGTTTCACCAGATTGAAGTTGTTCGGGTTCATATATATTTAGTTTAATGACACAGAAGTCATTAAAAATGACGGCTTTCTCCCCAACATTAATTAGTAGGAGAGGCTGTTAACGGGTGAATTGTTCCTGGATAGAACTGTGGAAATTCCATAAAGTTGGAAGTTTCTTCAATTCCTGCTTGTATCCGTGTTGTGTTTAACTAAACAGGCAGAGGTTTAACACCGAGAAAGTCAATAGTCAGCATATAGAAAACAGAAAATCTTTATATTTCATTACATATACTTATTTGTGTTGACATGTTTTGTTTGGTGGTGTTTCCTATTTTAACATACTGGGATAATTACTTTTGGTTTTAAACATATTGTTGGATTAAAAACTTCTCAAAGTTAGAATTAACGTAAAAACTCATTATTCAAAGTAATGAGTGAAGATAAACGAGGCTCATTTTGTGGCTGATTTTGCAAATGAATGTGGACGTGGAGGGCGAAGGACAATTAGTCCAGCTATTGATCACGAACTCCGTCCATTTAAATGATTATCATCGTTCTCTCTCTCCATGATTGCTCCCTATTGATTAGTCATGTCTGCTATTGTTTCTCCTTATAGACAGCGCAGGTCTTTTAGAGAAGACATGAGTCTCTTTCTCCCCCTTTCTCTTTCACTCATGCATGTGCGTGCACACACACACACACACATGCGTGCATTGTTTAACCACAGTGAGCTTTGAAAAACAAATGGAGGCTCTACAAATAGATCCAATAATGACACTAAGTTGCTGAATGAGTTTGAGTTCAGCTCACTTTTTCTCTCATTAAATGCAGGTTGCAGTTGCCAGGCAACCAGCACAGACTTCAGGAAGCTGTTGCTCAGATTCTGAAAATACTGCAGTGCATAACCTCACGCCCAAAAGTCAGTTTTCTCATATAAAACAGGCCTTAAAGGGTTTTTGTTAGTTTAGGTTTAGTTGTTGTTGTTGTTTAATACTGGAGGAGCCGGTGTATAAAGAGTAACAGTTGTGTAAAGCTGTTAAAGAGGAGGACGACGGTCGTGGAGAGAGCAGCGGTCTAATAGCTGCTGATATTCAGACACTTTTAATATGAGGGCGAATCCCCCTGTCACTCTTTAGGCTATTTATAACACATCAGAGAGGAGACTAAATGGGTTTGTGCTGCTTTTGATGACACACAGATACACACACGTGTTCACACACATGCCCAGTGAAAAGAGAGACTCTCTTTAACCTGTCAGACACACAGAGACCTCCGCTGTCCGCTGATGGAACCTCACGCTGGCCTTTTATGCTATTTGCAAATTTTTGGATTTCATTTACATTTTTTTAGCAATATTGGATTCGTGGAGAGTAAATACAAAAAAAGTATGAATTAAACAGAATTTGTTATCAGAGAAGTCACTTTGTTATTGTTTGACTGAGTAAATATTAGATAAGAATGTTTAGTTAATATTGCATCAAACTGCTTAAATTAGAGAATTTAATGTGATATTTAACCTTCAACCCTCACTTTTATTGCCTTATGAACACACCACGGTATAAGCAGTTGTGCTGGAGAACATATTAGGAACGGCAGTCGTCGTCACGTAAAAAAAAACACACTTACATCATGGTACATGTGTGCAGTTGAAAGATGAATTAGTGTCCAGTGTGTGCTGTCGTTGATTGTCTACTATTTTAGGTTGTGGATAAAATGTCTTCTTCTTCTTGTCATGAGTGCGGCTGTTGCAGCATGTGGCGTCGGCATTACTGGTTCACCCCTGAGAACAGTGGTGGGGGCTGAGGAGATTAGAAGTAAGAGGGAAAATATATATATATATATATAAACAGAATAAGTGGTGATGTCAGAAAAAAGAGAGAACGCTGTAAGAGAAATGGAAAGATGTGGATGGTGTAGAAACAGAGAGAGAGAGAGAGTGAGGTAACAGAACCAGGTGAGAAGCAGAGTGAGGGCGGCTGAGTGGGTGACTGAGAGCTGGAGCCTATCTGAACTCTTGTTAGCCAACAGCTGCAGAGTGACAGAGGGTGAGCTGCAGTGGAAGAACAAGTGGCTGCTGATAGAAGGGAAGAGAAAAAAAAAAAACCTCCCCCAGACAATATGCTGCACTATCAAGGCCACATGACAATGGAACAACAGGCGAGAGGTGAGGATCAGTTACAAGATGAATTATTATAACACGCTCTGACATGATAAACGGGCAACGACATTTATATGTGGAGAGACACGCCGGAGTAATAATATTAAAATATCAATTAATACTGCTGCTCCTGCAGGTATTTACTGGGGTTGAAAAAGCTCACAAAACAACCCCACAGTTGCAGTTGCACCTGCTAATTGCTAAGCTAGCTGAATTCATGACACTTTTATTAATTATATTTTGGTTTTATTTTGTTTATTAAATACTTGCTTCATTCTTCTGCTGCTGTTTTACTGACATACAAAAGATAATCTACACAAATTCAAAATGAAGTCCTACGTTCAGAGGTGAAATATACAGAACATGCAAAATGGCCGCCACTCGTGGTGCAAACCGGTATTACAATCCAAAATAAATAAATTGTACATATCTGTCTACTTCATCACAAACTCAGATGCCTTAGAAACATTGGTTCTCAAACTATGGTAAGCGTACCACTGGTTGTACTTGGGCTCCCTCTATTGGTACGATGGGAAATCTGAACCTTGAATGAGAGCAACTTGTTTGTTGAATACAGCTCTTTATTATTCTGTACGTGTTTGTTTTGTGTGTTTGTGTACAATGAAGTAGCCACTTAGTACTTCGTTGTACTTTGTGATATGACCAATAATAGTTTAATAATCTAAATAGGACGAGAATATCTTCCTTGGTCTGTGATTTTGCATTTAAATGTTGGTCATACTGGAGAGCCAGATATTTATGGAGGAAGTACGGATTGTAAAAGTTTAAAAACGCTTTAAAACAGATATTTGTCTACATATGTTTATTTGATACACGTTTATGTGTAAATAACTTTGCAGTTTTTTGTTTTATGCCCTTAAATTGTTGCATTTGTATGTCAAAAACAAGCATGAAAAATACGGAAAAACTGTTTTAGAAAGGCCCATATTTTCCGTTTCCTGGGACAGCAGTTCTTTTCAATGGTACTGCACTGACCTGAGGAGAGTGAATGTCACAGAATGAACAACTCAGTGGGACAGAGGCTGAAGCTCAGTCTGGTTTATTTTTGCCAAAAACCTCTCCTTCCTCCTGTGGAAGTACAGTCTCCGGTCTGAAGTGTGGACTCTGTTTTGTTTCTGCTCTGGCAGAGGTTTTTTATGGGTAAAAGCATTACTTTAAAGAGTGACACTGGCTGAAGGAGAACCAACTCTACTCTGCTGTAAAATATCAGGAGTTCAAGTCTTTACTATAATAACATGTGATTTATTGATCTCTGATGGCGTATTACGGTGGTTTTAATACAAGAAAACACGACCTTTAAAAACATGACGCTGTGTCAAACACAGCCATTAACCACATCCTACTAAAATGGTTGGCAGATGAATTTGTATTCACTTATCCCGGCTCTGCTTTTTGATTTTACAGAAAAATCTCAATTCCAGACGTCAGCCATTGTTACATGAAAGCCGAGACACTCCAGAGACGGCCTGATCTGGGAATGTAGAGAGGCATCACAGATTAACTGAATCCATATTGAATTTATATTGACAGTAAGACATGGCCTCACTGTTATTGTTGTGTTATGGTCTTTAGAAGTGAGCTGCAGAACTGAGGTTGAATCTCCCGGGACGAGAGCTGTGGTTTTGTTGTGGTGTTGTGTTTGTTTTACCATGGATTAGTCCGTACCAGACTTTAATTCAGATTTGAAATTGTGGCTGCTGGACGACGAACAGCAGTGAAGGTCAACACACACGGACACACTCTCTTAGACAGACACATCTACTCTTTTTGTTCCCTCATGAGCTTGGCCTATAGGGAGAGAGAACTTGTATCCTGTGACCTTCCACCTCCAGCCTGAACACCTGTTTCCTCCTTCCTGTTATTTTCTCCCAGTACAGGAAGTTGGCCATAAATGTCAAAAAAAAAAAAAAAAAAAAAAAAACAGGACCAGCCCAGTTTGTGTCAGATGATCATGAGATAGAAGTGTAATCAAAGTGTAATACACACACGTATGCAGAGAGA